TTTTCAACCGCCCATCTCCCCCCAATGGGGGAACTCTGGGCGATTCACAACAAACATTGAAAACATAAATATATATAAATACATAAAACATTAGTTAAAAACATTACTAAAAAGGATAAAGAGAGTCCAAGAGGATAAAAAATCTGAGGCTGAAGACAGAAGGCCTCTATGGGGCTAGCCATCCCCATGCTTGAGGTATTCCCTCCCCACCCCAGGCCAGGTGGCAGAACCAGGTCTTCAAAACCTTACAGAAGGCCAGGAGTGTGGGGGCCAATCGCATCTCCAGGGGCAGAATGTTCCAAGGAGCAGGGGCTACTGCAGAGAAGGCCCGCCTTCTGGACCCCACCAGTCGAACTTCTTTCACCGAGGGGGTCCAAAGCATGCCCTCTCTGTGTGATTGGGTGGGATGGGTTGAAGTCATAGGGGAGAGGCGGTCCCTTAGGTAACCTGGTCCCATGCCATGTAGGGCTTTAAAGGTGATAACCAACACCCATGGTCCCTGTAACACTCCATGGAAGCAAACGTTTTTGCTTTGAAGAAGCAGAATAGGAAGAGTATTGACACTTTTGAACTTTGGTGTGGGAGAAGACTCCTGAGGATATTGTGGACACTGAATGAAACAAATGGATCAACAAACAGATCAACCCAGAGTTCTGGGCACAAATGACCAGGCTCAAATTATTCTACTTCAGACACTTTATGCAAAGACTTTGCTATCTGGAGAAGGCTCTAATGCTGGGAACGGTAGAAGGAAAAAGAAGAGAACAACCAGCAGCAAGGTGGATGGACTCAGTTACAGTGGTGATGAGTGCACCGTTGGAAGACCTGAAAGAACAGGTTAGGGATAGATTGTCATTGAGAAAATCTGTGTGGTCACTAAGAATCGACAATAACTTGATGGCACCTAATCAATCATGATGCTTTCATTTTGACATTTGTTAGCATTTGGTGGACCAGAAAAATTAGCACAAGTTAACACCATTAACCAAATCAGATGGAATAATTACTAATTAACATAGCACGTACAGTATAGTTCAACAGGATATTGCCCAGAATCTGTCAGAGATAGAAATGAAACTGATAGAAATTATTTTTAGGAAATTAAATCCAAATTAAAACATGTCATTCTAAACTACCAATCAGTTTCTTCTGTGTGCCTGACAGCTCCATTTCAAGATAAACATGTATTTATAGCATCCTATTACTGAATTCTGTCTTATATTTTAGTATTGCCAAGGAACAGAACAACTGGTGTGTCTGTTCAAAGTTAGTGGCATATATATTCAATCAAATTATCAGGCAAATTCAGAAGCTAAGCAAGAAATATGAATGTGGAGAGTTCATATATATATTTTTAAAAATGTAATATCCTACCTATCCTATATTTGGGTCTAGATGACTCACAAATATCAATAAAGATACAGAAACAAAAACAATAGCAAATCTCAGAACAGCAATGAAGTCCTTAATGTAGTAAAACATTAATGCTCTTAATGTTAAGCTTTATATTTATAATGTTAAGCTTTATATTTGTAAGGTTTATGTTGTTTTAATGTTGGATTGTTTTAATGCTATTTTTCCTAACTGAACTGTGTTACTTAAAACAGCTTTTGTTATTTCTGGAATGGCTATCTTGCTTGTTTGCTGCACTGCGAGCTAGATAAGGTGCAGTATTATATGTGATAAATATTGCAGATGTCTGCCTTTCTTCATCCTTACTGGGAAAAAAAATTAAAGTGCTGCATTGCTGAGACACTGGAGACATGTCCCATGTTGTCTTGAACTTCCGTGGTTAAGCTAAAATTGACAGTGCAGGCTAAAGGCTTTTTTCCTTCTAGAACGGTGTTTCTCAAACTTGGCAACTTTAAGATGGGTGGATTTCAACTCCCAGAATTCCCAAGCCAACACTCTTTTAGAATGAATTCTATCAGTATGACCCCACATCCTGATTACCTCAACACAGAGACACTTTACCAAGGACACGTGCCTTTTAACCTTTCCTCTATCTCAACTCTAGCCCACTGCTGACACAGTCTACAGCCATTTTTAGTTGTTCCGGCTTGTTCTAGTTGTTTCAGTTTGAAAAGATTTTATTTTCTGATGTAAGAGTTTGTTTACAGGCTAAAACAGATTCAGAAGAGCTTTTAGTAAGCAAGGAGCTGCAAGATTTTGCTCTCATGCGCCAAGGAGAGCAGCAAAGGTAAATTCTTCATGCTTATTGCATCCTCCAATTCCTGCCCAGAAAGTCTGTAACTATATGGGCAGCACTTGCGTATTAACTTTTGTCTTGATGTACAGGATTCCAAGCTTAAAAAAAAAAAGGTTCCTTTTGTGGAACTTCCGTCTCCTTAAAATCATGCACTCAGCCATTTGGCATGGAAATCAGTATGTCACACATGTTTGGCAAATATTAAATCAATTCCCATTTCCAATTGATTATATCTATTAAAGAACCAAGCAGGAAAAAGTCAGGTGCTTTAAGAATACAATAAAACATATAATTATCAAAATCAAACTTACCAGGAATCTGAAACTTTATTAAAGCAGCTTTCAGGGTTGCCCTGGGAATCACAGCATGGAAGGCTCTTGACTTTGGTAACAGCTCAAGGATAAAGGAAGACCCCATAATGTCTTCAGGGGATGGGTAACTTCCAGAAAAAGACTAAAAATTCTTACCCAATCAATACTCGGGATGACCTGATCATGTTCCTCTGGGTGATTTCTATTTACATTTAACATAAAGTTGAGGCTTGGGGAACAAGGAAGAAGCAAGCTTTGAATATGTAGTAATGCTTTTTTTTTTTTTTAGTCTGGTATAACTGAATTGGAGACCTCTAAGCATGTTCTTTGTTTGAAAATAGAGACTAATGAGAAAGGAGAAAAGGTTGGGTTTGTTACAATACTTTGCATAATACAGGTAGTCCTCACTTAACAACTGTTTGTTTAACAACAGTTTGAAGTTTACGACGACCTTGGAAAAAGTGCTTTACGACTGTTGCAAACCGACACACTACTCCCCAGGGTCACACGATCACAATTTGTGACCTTTTTTATGACGATTGTAAAGAGAATTGCTGCGGCTGTTAAGCGAATCACGTGGTCATTAAGCAAATTCCAGCAAAAAAGTACATTGGGGAAGCTGGATTCACTTAATGACAATGTGATTTGCTTAACAGTCATAGTGATTTGCTTTCAACCATTGTAAAAATGGTTGTAAAATCGAGTCCAGTCATGTGGTAACTTGCTTAATGACCACCCCGCTTAACTACCAGTTTTCTGGTCCCTATTGTGGTCATTAAGCGAGGACTACCTGTAATATTATGATGATGAAATATACAACATTTAAAAACAGGATTTCTATAGGTTAAATGCAGTTTTAGTTACGTTGCCCAAGAAAATGGGCAACACGATTTTTTTTTTAAAAAAAATTGGATATTAATTTACTGAGAAAATATTTCTACTATTTTTATTAAAAAGCCAAGATAAGCCAGGATAAACTGCAAGGTTATAATGTTGTCCAAAAGGATATTGTAATAAATCTAAAAATAAAAGCAAACAAATTATTAACAATTCTATCTAAAAATTCAGCCTGAAATGAAAATAAAAAATAAAAAGCTCCATATGCCCCTGAATATGTTTCAGTTATTGAAAAGATCTTGTCACACTACAGGTGAGATACCCAAAGGCAATACAGCCAAACTCAAGAGAATCCTCTTTGTCTTTACCCTGCCATCCTACAGACTCTGTGCCTCAAGTATGCATGCGTGCTTAGTTTAATGTATTAAATTCAATGTTAATCAAAAGAAACAATGTTTTTACACACACACACACATGCACACAGATATAAAATTTGGCAGTATCATTAAAATACTGAAACAAAAGGTTTATCAAGAAAAGCATATTTCTTATTGAAATGAAAAGCAGACACAAGTTTAAATTCCATGCTCCTCAATCATTAAATTTTTTAAAAAGTTGATTCAAACATCACTCTGTACTTATTTCCACTCCAGTCAGCAATACATAATAAGAGTCTCATTAGGATTAGAGCGAATGCAAGCATCCGTAGGAGTCAGCTGCAGTAGACCACACTTGTCAAGCTTTCACGGCAACTGATAAAGTTAGCAAGTTTTGACATTAAAACTCAGAAGAAAGAGTATACTTTTCACCACAAGGCTGGGATTACTCAGAAGCATGTTGTAATTGTTTTAGTGGGGCTTTCAAATAAACATACGCGGAATTAAATTTGTTCTTTGCACTCAAGAATATGGATTCAAGCTGCATCTCTCATTTCAAAATACTGAGCGCAGCATTTTTGTCCCCATTGTTCAGATATTGGCAGGAGGATCCATAAATGCTAGGAATAAGCACTGACAGAGATGGAGCGCATGGGGTTGTTCAGCCCTGCTGACTGCCAGCATGTTGCTTTCAAAACATTCTCCGTGGATGGATGTTGCCGTTAGCCTCAACAGAAAGATTTTCTATTCCTGCATTAAGCTGTTCTTACTTTCATGTGAGACTTGGACTTTCAGCGCGCTGTTATTGTGAAATGTGGTTATCCATGTAAAAATCGTTATGAAATGCTAACTTTAAAAGGAGTTATCATGATGATTTCTTTCCCCTCTGCCTATATTTGGCTCTTAAGCAAAACAAGAAAAAAAAAATATCGGAAGGGTTTTAGCAAAATAGTAAGATACTACGTATACCGTAGTTATCATATCTTTAGGCATTATATTGTATAAATTGTCATGAAGAACTGTATGTGCAACTATAAATTTATTTAACAATTAACACCAGTCAAAGAACAACAATTGGTATCCAATGTTCCAAAAATTGGCATATATCTTTCTTCTACACTGGATAATAACTAAGAATTACAGTTCTTAAAATCCAGTCAATGAAGCTCATCCTGAAACTTTTAGTTTTGGCTTCATTTCTTTTTGCAATAATTTAAGACTAATCGTAAGTCAGCTTTCAGACTAATCATAATAGTCTGGCGATATCTTAAGACCCTAATTAGCACCATTCTCTGCTTATAAAATCCCTGTAAGACTTTAGAATGAGTATACTGGCATAGATCCAGAAGTGATCTACTGGAATCAACAAGATACTTAATTACAGATCCAAGTTACTCTATAGGAATGTCACTCTGAAGAAATGTGCATGTTAATAATCTTCATTTATAACAAAGGTTCCACCTCCAAAGCCACTGAACCAAGTCTCCTCTTGTTTTGTTTTCTGTATGTAATAAATTATGCAGTTATCTGGATGTAAAGTTAAGAGAAATATTATTGAAGTCAAACAAACGCATAGCTTGAAAATGAACACAGCATAATTTAAGAGCAATCAAACAATTAAATTACTCTTACCACTCATTCATTGGTGAAATCAGAATAACATTTGTTGTAAAACGCTGCAGAAACAGTATGAACATATGTGAAACCTATATGAGCCTTCGTATTTTAAGAAAGAAATTCAGTCTCACATATGGGTCAATATCAATGGGTATGCATATATTTAATCTGAGGTTTCTAATTAAGTATACAAATATCTATTAAGGACTGCACAGAAGTTCCTTTGATCCACATTCCAGCTCTTGCTCTCATATGCACACATGACAATGGAAGGGGGAAATTCACAAAACCAAATTCACATATAAATTGCTTATCCTTTCTCTGGAGATGGATAGGAAAATGTTCCATGCATCCCAGGGCTGAAATAGATAACTGGATGAGGGTGATAGACAGACAAACACACACAGAGTGAAAGAGAGAGAAAGAGAGAATGATGATTCATTTCTGCTTTGAAAAGAAAGTATTGGGAAATACAGTATATAGCTTCTTGTCTTTTTGATATTTCTAGCTCAAACATATAGCCACCTAACTTCTATATTAACATTGTCCAAAATAGTCTAGAGGAGGGAAGGAAATGATACTTCAGTAAACTTCTTTCTACTAAGTGGGCTTCTTTTCGAAATCAACCAAGGAACAGACTGTAGCACATTTTTATTGCTTTGCTATAAGAAACTGTTGCAACAGGAACACTGAGCTCAAAGTTATCTGCTGCCAGCTGTTGAGGTATAACAGTTACAGTGTGGGCTACAAGAAAAGTGCATAAATTTATATTAAAAAATTAATTATAACATATCAGTAAGCATTGATAATTATTTTACAGGACACTAAGACACAGGGAAAGGGAGAAACAGTTTGAATATTAAACAAATTACATTTTAAACATTTTGCTTATAGTTAGAAGCTAGAGATTCAGCACTTAGGACATTGGCCCTTTTTTTGTATTATGCTAGGTTTATGGGATAAGGAAACTCTAAATCTGAGGATACATACATTAGAATAAAGCTACTTTGCAGAACACCACTATATTATTAAAAAATTCATTCAGAAGGTGTTCAGGGATGATCTACCAAGTAAACATAGGACTATTTGTGGATAGGTCCTAAATAATGAAATGTTATTAAGAGTTTCTAAGAACACAGTGCAATGATCACCAAAGTCAAATAAAGATTTACTATAAGAAAACTTTTTCAATGTTAGGGTTCTGGCTTAGGCTCTTGTAAAAATAAAATTTCAATTTATGAGGATCTCATGTATTGTATTTGCTCACCTTGGTTCAACAAAGGATTTCCTAGATAAGTTTACAAAATAATATGCCTTGCACTAGAAATACAACTGTCAGTGAATATGACATTTTCTTCCACAAGTAAATGATTTTTCCCCCCTTTTCCCATTTGACGATCATTTCAAACAGAACACATGCCAGTGTGGTATTGGTTGTGATCTGCCATACTCCTGTAACAAATCAATTTTAAATAACCGAAATTAAAACCCAGACGTCAGTCTAGCTTTTGTTAAGTATAAGCAGTATGATTGGATACGAGGCATCTACAAAATAACATATAAAGCTCAAGACATAACAACCAGAATTAAATTAATGTGGCATACTGAAATAAAATAATGTGCCTGAACTAAGCTGTGGCTTGGGCTATAATAAAACCCTAGAATTAAATAAAGTCTAATTGATTTAAAATGATATGGATGTAAGAAACCTACTGAATCAAAGATCTACTAGAAAAACATCTGTGTAATAGAAAACTTGAATTCTGAGAAATATGTTATCTGAAACAACACTTTAGCTCCTTGTTAAATTAGAGAAAGACAACAAAAATACATGAATATTGAAAATGAAATCACCCAGTTTCTATAATTTAATAAAAATTGAGGGTTACTTCCCAACAAATGTTCTTCTTTCTGATTTTATAGCTAAAGTATAGGATACCAAAAAAAAAAAAAGTTTAAACCCAAAGATTAGCAGATTCAAGCTATCAAGCTTGAAAACAAGTTCTCATCTTAACAAAAATGTGCACATATGTTTTCTGTTCCAAAACACAACAATTAAAACTTATGCCAACTGATCAGGCATCTGATGACAGAAACAGCAGTCCTCCTCATTGACTACTATTACATGTAAAGCTCTGAAAATATTTCAGATAAATAGCTATTACTTACTCATTTGTCAACAAAGTCCTATTAATTTAATTAAGAATTGGCAAGACTACCAATTTTCATTAGAAAAGGATACAAAGATATCTAGTAACAGTACTCCAAAGCTCCCAATAAACCAAGGGAGATGATGCCAGAAATAAAGACTTATAAGATATTGTGTTGCAGGCATTTTTAAGATAAGGCTAAGGCCATAGGTGACGTTTCCCAGCATGGCTAACGCAAACAAAAGATAAGATGTCCCGCCTGTGGATCTTCTTTGGAACTAAAGGATAATATATCAAAGTAGTGTTATAACTAATTCATCATGTATCTGAAATACTGTTTCATGACCAATGTAAGCTTTTGAACTCACACTGTCCTTAGTCCCTATTCAACACAGAAATAGGAACACAGGAAGCTATATTAATCAAATATGTTGAAATTGGACATAGCTGAAATTGGACTCTAGTGTGTCCTCACTCAAATCCTCCAAAATTAAAAAAGAGAAACCACCAGTTGGAAGTATTCTTGTCTAAGTATTGTTCAATATTTAGTGGTAATAAAATACGGTTCATTAGAAAGAATGGAAAATTGGGGTAGTGTTGAAAAGAGGACTGAGAAATTTGAATCCTGAATAAAAGCACTCCACATTACAATGTTTTGTTGAAAGGCTCCATTTGTAAAAACTTATTCAAGATTACTCTCAAAAGCAGATCTAGAGTCTTGCCATTTTTAATCTCAAGAAACTTTCAGTGACTCAGCACAAATAATGAGTTGTTAAAACTTTTCTAACATAGTTTTTGTCGAATACTGAAGAAATTGCTCTCATTATTCCAGTCCTGTTTCTTCTTAACCAGTGAAATCTAGCCTCATTCCAGATAAACTGAATCTAAATGTAATGGATATTTAAAAACCAATAAGCATTTAGCAAATTCATCTTATTTTAAATATAGTTCATAACAAATATTTCCATGCTAATTGCTTTGTTTACTGATCATTTGCACAAGTTTTAAGAGTATTCTCTTTAAATTGCAAATGGATGCAGTCACAATTTTGGATATGCATTTTGCAGCTGATAATATATGTGACATAGTCTATTATATTATTATATGTATTTTAGAAGTGAGATTATAACTGAAGAAAAATTCACTTTATCTATGAATGTTGTAGGTAGGCACATTATCTTCAGAACCAATAAACTTACATTTTTATAGAGCTGAGGAATTCTAGATCCCAAGTAAAACACACAAGATAAATAGCCACAAACAAAGCCTGATATTTCAACCATGCCGTGAGAGTTCTGGAGAGTTAAAAAATAGAAAACTATTACAAATTTGCAAAGCAGTTCTAAATTAACTTGTGAACAGCATGCTACGTATTAAAACAGTGAATTTGGAAATCCTTGTTAAAACTGAAAAGTGAGTGTTCTAAGCAATGGGGATAATGAATATTTTCTACATAATATGAGTTTATTACAGTCATTACAAATACTTTATAGTTCATAAACATTAAGATAAGGACTCCCTCAGGTACAGTTCATCTTCTGAGAACTATATTGATATGCCTACATAGTTTTCCTTGCAAAATATAGAAATGTTTTGCTGCTGTCTTCTTCCAGAATGGTTTTTCAACTTCCATTCTAGCCTACAGTCATGGAATTTCCCATCTGAGTACTAACTAGCTCCATCTTTGTGTAGGGTATTTTTTCTTTTTTTCTTTTTTCTTTGGAGATCAATCAAGGTCAGCTTGCCCACTATCTATTTAGAGATTTTGATGGTAATTTAAAACAAGGATTTACCTCATTGGATCCCAAAAGACTATTCTGGACTTTGTTTCGCAGCAACAGCTGACTAGGTAAGATTAAACACAATAGTATGCACATCATAACCCAGGCTATACAAGAATTCTTCATATTCATTCCACCTTGAAAGACAAATGAAAATTAGGGCAAACAAAATATTTGATTGCTTTTTTTAAAAAAAAAACTTGTTTGCAATATAAATGATGCTGTTCTAATCCACTTGAGGCAGCATAGAGTTTTTATACTGACTCAACTGTTTTATCATCAATGACCTTGGAGGATAAATTTTGTAATATCCCCATCTAGTAGTAGTAGTAATGTTTATTTGGACAATAACCAGCAAAATTTAAAAATATACAACACAAAAGTAAAATCAAATGGGTGAAATAAAATACCAATGTAACAAGGAGCCTCGATTATAAAGTAACATAAGCTGCTATAATGATGTGTTAATTAGCTGTGCAAGCATCAATCTAGAATATTGCAACATATAAATAAAAATACATGTCACCTATATGAAGTGATAAATAAAACAGAAGTGGTTATTCCAGGGACCAGTTATGCCTTATTTTCACTGTGGCAACATTTGGCTTCTAGATGATTCACATAGAAATTGTTTGGCCTTCCTGGGAATTTACATATTAGGAACAGAATATAAGTAGATCTAATATCCCTGTAGAATTTACAGGGTAGTAATACACGAGAAAAGGTTTTGAACTCCTTGTCACCACATGGCCAGCTTGGCTAATGGGGTTTTGGAGTATCTGCCTTGCAGCAAAGCAGATGGTAAGTTTATGCCTGGTTTGAAAAAATGCTATCCTCAGCCTGGGGAAAGTTAGACTTTGTAAGTATTTTACTGTCCCCAAGCGCCTTTGTTATATCCAATTTCTGCCCAATTTCTGCTGGGGAAACCTATTAACTTTGGCCTGGAACTTCATATCCTTTATTCTTTGGGTGAGCAGTTGTTTGGCTTGATCATATCCTAAAGAAATTAGGAATGCTGTGGAAAACCTGCATAATACCAACTTCTGCTCCACAGCCTGTTTCCAGGGTGAAGGAAAATTATTCATTAAAACTAGAGGAGTCAGGCCGGCTGGAAAGAATTAGATTTTCAGCGAGCAATTTATCCTCCTCCTCCATGCCCTTACCTGGACTGTCAGCGTTCCTGTCGCAAGCCTTAAGTGGATGTTTGCTGATCCATTGGGGGCAGCAAGGATTGATTTCAAGAATTTGTTTGCACTGATTCCAGTGCATCCTTTTTTGCATAAATTCCCACTTGTGCATTGTAAAGGATTTGGGCCAATGAATGTTTGACTGCTGCAGGCAGTAATTGGTCTCTGCTTGTGTAGAAGCACTTTCTAGCACTTTAAGATCTCAGGGTTAGCTGCACTACATGATCCTGGTGCTCATTCCAGGTGCCTTTAGAGTGGAACACCACTGCAAGATATTTAAATGCAGGGTCCCTTAGCAAAGACCAGAATTTTAGATTTCTCAACATTAAGAACCAGTTGATTTTGCCAGCAGTACCAAAATATTGCTGCCATTGTTCTTTTCAACCCTATAAGGCTTTGTGAAATTATGGCAGCAGTAGCAGCAGCATAGAGGAGTATAGGGATTTTGCACCCTGCTAGTTTGGGAGCATGGAAGTCCAGGTTATGAAAAAGGTCCGCCGTTGAATTGATGTCTAAGTTCAAAAGAGAGGGGGCAAGAATACATCTTGATACATACCTTTCTGAACACTCACTATGCCAGAGAGGGATCTTTGGGAGTAACACCTCATTCTTATATCTTTATGGGAGACAGGAACTGCCCTTATGCCTTCACAGGAAGTAAGATCACAAATGATGTTAAATGTATTGTTCATTTTATTTGTGTCACTCTTTTTTTTTGCTAACACAATGTGACATATTTTATATTTCCTTTCTGCTGGCTGGTACATACAGCTGCTACTGTATGTGGACAAATTCATGCTGTAGCTTGTCAAAATACCCTTCAGCAATCAGGTTAGTGATGAGTTATTCAGGCCTTCAGGTTCATCTTGATCTTGTCAACATGTTTTTCTGCTGATGTTTCATGTATTCTATTCTACAGTTACAAAATTCTAAATGCAACAGTCTTAATCTTACCATGTAACTAAACCACGCCATTTAAATTCCCATAGTTTAGGCAGTTTTAAATGTCACATATAAATATTGAAGACTACTACATACTACTACAAAGATCTCAGTTCAAAATACTTACATTTTGTTATCTTCTGATTTTTTAACTTATAGTAGAAAAACTGAGATATCATAATTATGTCCATGATAATGTAAAAAACTGCAGTTACAATCTGAAAAAGGTAAAAAGAATGAAGCATAATTTCATATCTCAATGTATAGAATATATAAAATATATACATCTCAAAAGTTTTGCTCACTCTTGTTCTTTTCTTGTAGAGAAGTTTTAATAAAAAGAATGTTCAAAAGTGTATATTTATATGTATTAGCCATTGTCAAGTATATAAAACTATGTATTAATGTTCTGGAACTTTTATTCTATCCAATCATGGGGCTTACGGAGGTTGAGGACTTACAGCTGTATCTTTTAAATTTATACTTCCAATGGTATTGCAAATTAAGATTGTCTGCCTAACATTTGTAGGCTCCTTGAGATGATTCTGGTAATTTATTCACTTACAGAGCTGGAAAAATAATACCAAAAGTAATCAAATGTGGATGCAAGTTAAAACTATTATCTTACTATGTATCTATTCTTTTTGCATGGATTCAGAGGGATCCAATCATACCATATGTTTCAACTTTTATAACAGGCTTCTTCAATGCATGACATGTTCAGATGCTGAAAACCTTGTATGTCACGGAAAAGCAAGGTGAGAAAAGAGGACAATACTGTAGGAAGGGAGCAGCAAAGAAGTAGTGGGAAATGTGCAATGCAAGAAAACCACTTTTGAGATAGAAGAATAGGGAGTGATAACAATGACCAGGCAGTAAAGTGGCAATGATGTGTAAAGTAGAGATTGTTAAACGTTAGGATTAGATATGCCTCTTGCAATGCAGAGAAAGAAACTAAGGCATGCTATGGAAGGCAAAGGAAAAAAAAGGTCTTACTTTAGCACAGCATGGGTTTAAAAAAGAAAAGACAAAATTAAAATGGAAAGAAAATCAGCTGCCAAAGTTTAGGTACTCCTTGATGTAATAATAAGTTTAAAAAACCTTAATTAAATGCCAAAGTGGCCCTCAGGCTTCTATGAAGCCAAACATTTGAAACTCTAATTTGGCTAAATTTACCTGTATTGGAAGTTGATTTGTCAAATAGCACCCAATAAAACTGGTAAGGTCTCCTGCAAGCCAGCACAGCAGAAAACCCAAGGAGAGTGCCTGATCTACTTTTCCATTCTGGTAAGCAACATAGAGTTGATGGGGGGGGGGGGGGAAAAAAAAAAAGGAGGAAATTTCCACGCACTTCAGGGTTCAAAAAA